CTCTCTCTCCCCTACCGTGGTTCCCACTATGATAGCGACCAATACACCCTCATCACACACACTCCACCCCCTCCTTTCACGGCTCGCCCTCACCAGCCTCGGGGACTACGTCACCCCACTCTGTACCCTGTCCCGGTTGCCTCACTGCTGTATCACCCTCCGATGCCAAGGTACTAGAAACCCACTCTGCATGTTTTCCATGGTTCTTACGTACGGCCGACACCCCGTTTCCCCAGTCCATCTCCCCTCTCGTCTCAGAACTTCTGGCGACGCTCCCCCCGCTGCCAAGTACGTGGCGCCCCCAATCCGAAGGGAATGCAACGCGTACTCTGACAGCGGCAGACCCGCCAACGACACGACTTGCCGCAGCGCGTCCGTCGCGTGACGACAAGTCGACACGGACTACCGCCCCTCCCCGGTTCCGAACGCGACCAATGGGGCAGAGGAGAGGAGACAGGGGTAGCATGACAGGAGTTCAATCATCACATGGACAGCAACCCCCCAACACTCTACGGACTGGGGAGCCCCCGGCCTCGCCCGCGTACACACGGCACCCGTCCGAACGGGTCGCCTTTCGACGACCGAAGCTGCACCTCGACTCTGTCAGCCTCGCCCCTCCGTTCAGGAAGCAACTGGTGAGGACCTCTTGGCTGAAGAAAGGGATAACATGATAGGAGTTCAATCATGGGGAGCCCCCGGCCTCGCCCGCGTACACACGGCACCCTTCAGAAGCGGGTCGCCTTCCGACGACCGAAGCCGCACCTCGACTCTGTCGGCCTCGCCCCTCCGTTCAGGAAGCAACTGGTGAGGACCTCTTGGCTGAAGAAAGGGATAACATGATAGGAGTTCAATCATGGGGAGCCCCCGGCCTCGCCCGCGTACACACGGCACCCTTCAGAAGCGGGTCGCCTTCCGACGACCGAAGCCGCACCTCGACTCTGTCGGCCTCGCCCCTCCGTTCAGGAGGCAACTGGTGAGAACCTCTTGGCTGAAGAAAGGGATAACATGATAGGAGTTCAATCATCACATCGACTGCACCCCCTCTATACTCGACGACCCGGCCTCGCCCGCGTACCCACAGAACCTCTCCGAAACTGGTCCAGGAACGATCCGCACTTCCATACTTCGGTGCAGCAAAGGGCACGCGTCCAATTCTCTCGCATTTGAAAACCGTTAAGCCAAAGGAACCTTGACGGTGGACAAAGAAATACATCTCTTCCAAAATACCTCTTGGCTGCAGCAGCCTCCCTCGTGCTTCCTTGGGGCAGACCAACAAGTGCTCCCAAGTCTATTCTTCTAGTCAAGGTTCAGACACTTCACGCTGACTCCATGCTGCTGCTCTCTGATTGGCCAACATATATTTCATCTTCCGCTCCCCAGAAAAATCAGATTTCAACGCCTCTTTCTCTGCAATCTTCTGCGTTCAGCTCGGGAGGGGGTTGGGAGCACCGCAGATTTCTGATGTCATGGGGGTATCGCACCATCACGTTTCTTATTGGGGTGTTTCTTACGCTATGGTTCTTATCCTTTTTTTCTTTACAGAATTTTTCTTTACTGTGGGCGCTATCTGTATTTGTACGCGAAGGGAAGGGGTGGCGAGTACCGTGAGACGCAGTACCTTCTTTCGAAGACCGTTCATTCGTTTACTCATGAAACTCAACAGAGCCGTAGAGCCAAGCCGCGGAGGGAGGTTCAGGGAACTCTTCGCGATATGTGGAAGGAAATGCCATCAGGGTAACTTTTGGTCTCCGCCGGGACAGTTATATGTACTGGTGTTCCTCGGTGGGACGCTGAAATACGCTCGTTTTTTTTTGTTTCACAAGAATGAGATAAATATGTGTTTACTTGGACGTTCCTCCTTCTTCCGCTGCCGGCTACGCAGTACATTAGTTGGCCAAGTACAAACTGGTGTACTGTAGTTGTTTTCAACACGTCCCTGACTTCTGTACATCTCATTTCAAGTATTGTAAATATGTTCGACGTCAACAAACGGTTGCCAGTCGTCTCGGCGATGCTGACTTTTCGTACCACCCCCTTCCTTAGCAAAAGTTGAGGTACAGCATGCCTCCATTGGCCCCGGATGGTGAGCTATCGTCCCCTGAATGTTAAGGACGCAACCCCGCTTTTCGGACGTCTTTTTTCAGGAAAACACATGTGCGTCCTTAAAGCGGGGTCGACTGTATGCATACATTTTGTTGGGGCTCGGAATCTGGCGTTGCTTTTTTACAATGCTCTCCTACAGCCGGAACCGGCGAGACATACGGTAAAACGTAAAACAAACGTGTCTACAACACCACTAGCTTGTAGCTGACCAATCGGACCGCCTTACCGAGAAATTAAGCCAGGACGGACATTGAAGAACAGGGACGGGACGGCCAAGCAACGCACGTACTTCCACGACTACCTAGAAGACACAATACAACATATGGTAGTCTAGAAACCATACCTTGGCCCTCCAGGGTACGCCATTCACTTCATGTCTCCACACTACTTTCTTCCTGAATCAAGGACTCCGCCAACCCGATACATACATAGACTTAACTACAAACTATGTCGGAAGCCTGAGACGCAAAAGTTCATCCATTGCAGCACTCTAAAAGCAAGACGTTTTTCTTCGGTACATCAGTTCGCGGTCGCCTCGAGACTTTTTTTTTGCCGGCTGTTTCCCGCTGCAGCGAGCCTGTCTCTGGATCACAGCGCCCCTCCCTGTCGCGAGCTCGAAAACTCCAAAGGCGAGTAGAGTTACAGCACGGTGAATGCACGCACCCCACTATTCAGTCATTGAGCTAGACGTTGCGGTGCGGTATATCTGGTTTTATTGTTATAAATAATCAAGGGTCGGTTCAGTACAGTACATACTATTGGTACTTTCAAGTGTTTTAGTAAGTATTTCGCCCCACCGCCCAGTACTGGGATACTTACACTTTTGTACAGCTCTCCATACTGTACTAAACATACTGTTGCTTTTAGTACGGGTCAATATACTGTACTAACGGTACTGTTGCGTTTAGTACGGCTCTCCATACTGTACTAAGCGTACTGTTGAGTTTAGTAGGGCTTCCCATACTGTACTAAGAATAGTTTTAGTACGGCTCTCCATACTGTACTAAACATACCGTTGCTTTTAGTACGGGTCAATATACTGTACTAACGGTACTGTTGCGTTTAGTAGAGCTTCCCATACTGTACTAAAAATAGTTTTAGTACGGCTGCCCATACTGTACTAACGCGATAGTACAGCCCCCCATACTCTACTCAAAGCGCTTTAGTATACTATCAGTCAAGTACCTGTTCTCATGATTTCTACCAAAGGGCGTGTTGGTGACGTCGCTATTCGGCAGAAAATTGTACAGTCTCGCCATACAGTCTCGCAACTGCGAGTGATCGTGGGCTCGTACTGGCGTGCTCGAGTACTGAGGGTATTGGTGTAGTGGCCCGCAGGGGAGGTGGTGGCAGCATGAGTAACGCGAGTGGTGGTTCGACCGCATCTCCCGGTGCGGGTGGTTCTCCCGGTACGGGTAGTCCCGCAACGGGTTCTTCACCATAAGACCAGGTGGTGGTCGTGGCGGGCTCTACGAGTGGAGGAGCTCCACAGCATTCGGTAAACCTCAAGCGTCCCGAGCCGATCTTCTACTCGAACGGAGAGAGTACGTCGTACCGGAGGCTACGAAGAACGCCATCGAGTCATTCGTTGTGCCGGACGGTTTCCAGCAGGAAGGGGCCCGCGAGGACTCTTTCCTGTTCAGCCTTGGACATTACTGCGTGCCCACTGGTGTTGTGAGCAAGACATGAGCGGAGAACAAAGCTTGGTACAGGTGCCAGGTTGGCGCGTGCTTAAAGTTGAAACGCGGCAAGATCATCCCCTGCATGAAGGGGAGTAAGAGCAACGTCAACAAGCACTTTCGTGAAGACCACCAACTGCATGGCAGCTCGGGAAAAAAGAGGAAACAGAGGGCGCAGACCAGACAAGGAAACATCGTCACAGCTATGTCGGCGGCCACGACGTTTGGCGTTGGAGCCCGAAGGTGTGTGCTGTGTCTGGTGTAATGTAGGTGGCATACTGTCTGTACAGCACATTTTTATTTTTATTTTTATTTGTTTTAGTACAGCAGTACAGGAGTTTGTATTACTCTTCACTTGTATTTGTTGGCAAAGCAGTACAGCTGCAGTTTGTACTCCATTTGCTGATATTAATATTACTCATATTTTTTAGTGCAGCAGTGTTTGCATATTATTTTCAGCATGTGTGCGACGGCAGATGAGAAAGTTTGGGTGAGACTCTAGCTTTACGGACTTGGCAAGTAGATCGAGCAATCAACAAGGAAGTTGGGCGGGACCGCAGGCCGGCGCAGGAGGCCTCACCCAACCAAAACCACCACTTGCATTGAATGATCTGGGTAAGGAACAAGAATACAACATTACGTAAGGTTTACAGTCAAGCTGGTGGTTTTATAAAGCACAGCAATACTACCGCAAGAAAAAAAAGACACGCGGCAGAGCCATCCGATCGAAGTTACGAGTCACAGGCGTGTTTTTTTTGTTTTTGTTTTGTTTTTCCAGGGTGAAGGAACTGCAGGCGGCGAAGCAAGTCGTGGAGAAACTGTTGCCGGCAGTTTTTAATTTCTTTTCCGAGGGAGAGATGTTCAGGGAGATGATGGCGACCCATGCAGGAACCACGACGTATCCAGAGCTGCCTCCGAAGCGTGTGAAACACCTCCTCGTCGAGATGTACTGCGCCACGAAGAAGGTGAAAGTCGAACGGTTAAGGTTGACTTTGCGCAGCCAACTTTAACTTTAGTCAGAAGCGTCAACCCCTCGACGGTGAATTTCAAATGTAAGCTTTAGTTTTGCGGTCATTGCAAACGTTGTAGGTACGTACAAACAACGCACACAACGCTAAATACGATTATAGTTCAATTAGAAAAAATAAAAATGTGACCTATTCTGCTGTTCATACCCCCCACACCACCACCGTTTTGCCGCAGGCAGTATTGGGCGACATGGTGGAGGAAGTGAGGAATGCACCGCTGCCCATTCTGCACCACATGATCGACATCTGGGCCGACAAACCATCGGGGCGCAAGTTCCTCGGTGTCCACGTTTTCTACGTGACCGCCAACTTCGAACTGAAGCAAACCCTGCTCTCTGTGAGTGAATTAACCCGCTTCGTGTTGGACGTGAACCGACCTTTGAAGATTTGTTTCTTTTGCAACCCGGGTAGCGCGTAATCTCCTAGTTTCCATCGGTTTATTTGAGGTCTATTTACTGTTTTCCAATTGCTGTCTTCTGTCTGTGCACTTTTCTCCTTTGTTTTTCACGGAGTGGTCGCGTAAATTCAATTCAATGTTCTTTTTTTTCTCCAGCACTGACCGAGGCTATTTTGTCTACCCGAACACCTGATAGAATACTTGATGCACCGATTCTTCTGCCAACTCCGTGTCTGTCCCCTTTCATTCCCCCCAGATCAAGCGCTACCGGCCCTCCCAGGACGCTCTCGGAGAGGTGAAGGCAGCGGAGGTGCTTCTCGAGATCCTCGAGGCTATCCTGAACGAGTTTGGCCTGCGCCCATCGGACCTCGCGTCGGGTACTACGGACAGCGGATCGGACGTCAAGTCTGTGAGCGTCAACGGCCTCCATCCGAAGTATGGGGTTCTGTGGAACTGGTGTTATTGCCACCTGATGGTCAAGGCCGCCGAGGACGCCTTTGGCACCCGCCCCGACCCTCAGATGTCCAAGAACCCGGAAGCGCGCAACATGCTGAAGAACCTCATCGGCATAATAGGGACCCTCCACAAGTCCAACTTGACGGCTAAGTTCGAAGACCTTCAGGTGGACCTGTTGGGCGAGGTATTAAACATCCCCAACCAGGCCCCCCAACGTTGGCTCACCCTGGTTCGCACAATGGAACGCGTCATCCGCTTGTGGCGCGTCATGCGGAAGCTCTACAGCGACGCGGGGAAAAACTTTCCACTCGAAGAAGGCGACAACAAGGACTGCATCAATCAGCTCTACTCGCTGCTGCAGCCGCTTTCTTCCGTCACGCGTGATGGCCAGTACGGGGGTTTGCCGATGCTGGCAGACATCTACATGAAGTTTGGCATGCTCAAGATGGGCGTGCTGAACTCGTCGGCGGATCTCAAGGTCTTCGACATCCCGCCGCTTGGAGAAGACGGCCTTCCGGACCGTGAGGAACAGAAGAAACCTCTGCCGCACAAGATGGTAGCACACGACGAGTTGCACCCCGTGGCACAGAAGGCGCGCAACGAACTCTGCCGCGCGCTCGTCTCGAGGTTCTACGGTCGTGTGTGGGACGACAGTTGCCTGGATCCCTCCATGTTCTGCGATGCTGCCTGCCTCCTGACGCCGCCGTTCAGTGAGGGGAACTACCTCTCGGCGATGAAGCTTACAGCAGAGGAGGACGAGTACTTGGCTGCTGGGTCGACCGTGGTAGCCCCTACGTCGGACGAAGACGTGCGAGAGAAGCTGGAGGGAATTTGGGTCGAAATCAACAAGCGAGCAGTCACCGCCGTCAAGACAGCGCACAATCGGGCCGCGGGTGAGGGTGGGGGCCAGGGGTTAGATCCTTTCAAGCGCGCCCGCACTAGCGGCGCGGCCCCATCTCGTCGCAAGAACCACGAGGACGACTTCTCGATGTTCGGGCGCAACGAAGTCGCCCCCTCCCAAAGCGACGAAGGAGATGTCGACTTTGTGGAGGAGGAGGTCTCGGGCGAGATCATGCGGTACAAGGGAGTCTTCATGAAGCCAAGCGACGTGAGCAACAAGATTATTATATCTGTAGCTTATTTTTATTTTCAATTTTGCTTTGTTTTTTGGTCCACATGGTTGTCGTAGGCCACGAAATTGAACTCAACACTAACACTAACCCACTTTCCCCCCCCCCCGATCTCGCGGCTTTTTCCCGTGTCATGCACCCTTCCAGTTGCCGCCCAGCGACGTCCTTGCCTACTGGAACAAAGTAGGGAAACAAATGTTTCCCTTTTTACAACGTCGTTGCCAAGCGACGAAAACCCAACCCCGATGGCAAGCATCGAGGGGGGGGGGGTCATAACATTGGATGGTTGGCGTTGGAATCATGAGGGCGTACGCTTACATTCAGTTGTTCCCTCAGTATTGTCAGTACTGTACTAAGCGTAATATATATAGCGTTTAGTACGGCTCTTCATATTGTACTAAGCGTACTATAGCGTTTAGTACGGCTCTTCATACTGTACTAAGCGTACTAACACTTTAGTACAGCTCTCCATACTGTACTAATCGTACTATTGCTTTTAGTAGGGCTTCCCATACTGTACTGAAAACAATTTTAGTACCGCTCTCCATACTGTACTAAACATACTGTTGCTTTTACTACGGTTTTTCATACTGTACTGATACCAACCTCAGTACCGATTCTCGATACTGTACTAAACGTACTGTTGCGTTTAGTACGGCTCTCCATACTGTACTAAGCGTACTAACACTTTAGTACAGCTCTCCATACTGTACTAATCGTACTATTGCTTTTAGTAGGGCTTCCCATACTGTACTGAAAACAATTTTAGTACCGCTCTCCATACTGTACTAAACATACTGTTGCTTTTACTACGGTTTTTCATACTGTACTGATACCAACCTCAGTACCGATTCTCGATACTGTACTAAACGTACTGTTGCGTTTAGTACGGCTCTCCATACTGTACTAAGCGTACTACTGAGTTTAGTACAGGGTCTGTACTGTACTCAGGTGAGTACAGTATTCATCTCTCACATACTGGGCTGGTACTAACCTTAGTACGGATTCTCGATACTGTTCTAAAAATACTGTACTGTGCTAAACCGACCCTTGATTTGTTCGTGCCAACAATCTCACGATCACAGCGTCCCTGTCGCGAGCTCTAGACTCCAAGGGCGAGCCGAGTTACAGCACCCCGTGAAGTACGACTAAGTCTTCCTGCATCCGGGCGCGTCTACAGTAGGGACTGTCCCCTCGAAGAATCACGCAGGTCGGACGAGATTTTGGAGAACGGCAACTCATGAACCATGACCGACCACCGCGTCTAAGTTGTTGTTGTATGTCTTGCGCCGACGGCGGATTCTTTTGTAATTGTGCCTCGTGGCGTCAACTTGATATCGACAGACTGCTGCGTTTATGGTTTCCAAATCTTTATCTTCCTGTGAATGTGGTTGGAGGTAGACATGTGATCGTGGTTGATCATGGTTATTTGGCGCCGTCGGATGCTAGGACGCGACGTCATGCTAGATCAGGGCTTTATGCCGAGATATGTGCCCTTCTGTTCAGTGTGTGCGTGCGTGCAGACGATCCATGATCGTGTGTGTCTGGGATATTGTGAGTTGGCTGTGCAAGCGTTAATCAAGAGGAAGAGAACAACGGATATAACCTGCTACTGCTGTGGTCGGACAAGAGAGTTCCATACAGGACAAAGGTGATTGATTCTGAAGGAAGGGGTCAAACACCATTACACTGGCGTCGTTGGCAGTCAGCTGTTCGACCTTTGAGAACAGTCACAAGTTTGGCTGAGATGTCTACAGATCGCCTAAATGTTTCGCCAGAGCCCACGTTTGATTATTTCAAGATGCGCAATTTTCACGCAAGATTTTTCCAACACCAGCTTTTGGACAGATCTTGGCCCAAGTGCTCCGAGGTGGCCTTTCGGCCGAATCTTGCACATCTTGCCCTGCTGGAAAAAAATCAAACTTGGACCCTTGCGAAACAAATAGGCGGTCTGTATATGTCTCAGCAAAGCTGTGACTATTCTCGACGGTCGAACAGCTGATTCGCCCTCGTTCGGGAGGCAGACTGCCCAAAAGGTCGAAAAAGTCAACATTTGTCCAAAGGAAGATAAAGATTTGGAACCATAAACATGGGCCTGTATGTAGTCAAAGCAACGCTAACTGGAGTAATTACTTCCAAGTCCTCACGTGCATCAGGTATCTTCACATAGGTGCGTGCACACGGCAATGTATATGTGCCTGAGATACACACACACCCTCCAAGTGGCAAGTACAGGTCAACTGCTGCTGTAGGAAGGAACTGAACAGGGTTGGTAGTGAATCATTTTGTTGTCGTGCGCCAAAGCTGGCTTGTGCTTTGAGTTTTCGAACATGCATGCATGCACATCTCACGGAAAGTTGCAAGTTTGTTTGTCTTGTGTAATAATACTGTCAACGACGCTGTACAGTAGTATTAAAGACGCTGCCGTAGCCTATAACACTCTACCGTATACAGGTAAACTGTAGATAGTTTGCGTTCGTTTGTTTGTTGTGCGGTGTGCCACTGCAAGTTCATAATATCCCTGCCTGTCTTGCACAGCTGAACGGTAGATAGATGTGGATAGATCAAGTTTTAGCGTATTGTGCACATTCTTAGATACCACAAGCAATCATTTAGTGGAATATTCCCTGGAAGTTGGTCAGAGTTAGTCGATATTGAGCGTGAAAGCATGACCTTTACGTTGAATTCTTAGTTGGTCTGCATAATAAACAGTCTGAGGCAAGGTTGCAAACGGACAGGTCGGTCTGCTGCTGTAGGAAGGAACTTTGACAGGGTTTGTTTTTTATTTTATTATTTTATTTTCTTAATGTAACACAACAAATCCATATCTATCTATAGAAATAAGTCTAAGATAGATTAGCAATGAATCCATAGCGTGAGCGAAAGGCTACCTAAATGTCTACGGTTTCCCAGACAGCATACAACGATATCTCCCCTGTGGGTAACAGGCTCGACAAGGCAGTTTGGTAGCCATCTTGTGTATTTATCTGCATGTTATGTTGGGAAGTTGTAGACGGATGATTTAGGGGAACTCGGTTTGTCGGGTGTTCTATTATGGCACCCTTATGTGGTTGCGGAGCAAGCGCGTCTCGGGGTGTGTATATTTTCGTCAACTTATTTTTTGTGTGTGATGTGTGGGGGCATGTGCGGCGCGGGAGAACATATTTATTACCTTGTTGTGTTATGTCATGTCGTTAAATGTGAGAAGGGCACAGGATAACATTATCTCATCATTGCCTCCTGACGTGGCCGCCGATAGAGGCGTGTGGTTGGGGTTTCATCACTGAAATGTGTGTGGTTAAGTGCAGTGGGAATGGTCGCCTCTCTCGCCCGTGTGTCGGCAGAAGGTATCTAGCTACATTTCCCATTTATTTGTAGGCAGCTCGGACCATAAGTAACGAACGAGTGTATCATTTCATGCATCTACATCATTTGTATGTTGTTGTTGTTGTTGTTGTTGTTGTTGTTGTTGTTGTTGTTGTTGTTGTTG